CAGAACATATTATGTATAGTTAATATGCTAACTAAATTGAGAACATCAAAGAAATAAAGGAGTATCTTCAAAAATACATATACTCAAACTATCAGAAAACCAGATAGAGATCTTAGATAACCCAATCTCAGAAAAAGAAGTAGAACTAGTTATAAAGGTACTACCATGGGGAGTGGGGGGTGGGGAGGGGACCCTAGATCTGCAGGATTAAAAGGAGAATTCTATCAGACTTTTAAAGCACAGTTAGTACCACATACTTCAAAAATTAAAAAAGAAAAAACCCTACCAGAATCCTTTTATGAGACAAATATAGTCCTGACACCTAAACCAGGGAAAGATAAAACATAAACAGAAAACTATAGACCAATATCATTAATAAACATTGACTCAAAATTTTTAAACAAAATCCTATCTAACAGATTACAGTGATTTATCCAAGAAATCATTCATTATGACCAAGTGGAATTTATACCAAAGTTGTAAGAAGCAATAATACAAAGGGAAATCCCATTCCAAATAACTATAAAATGCATAAAATATCTAGAGATCAGCCTCCTAGAGCATACAAAAGTCTTGTACAGATTCAATTACAAAGTACTCCTTAAAGAATTAAAGAGCAACCTAAATAGCTGGAGGAATATTCAGTGCTCATGGCTAGGCCACATCAATATAATAAAAATGTTAATACTACCAAAATTAATTTATACTTTTAATGCTATACAGGTTTGCAGGCTGGACCTGCCTCAAACTGTCACAATGTTCACTGTTGTAGAGAAGACAGGAGTGAGCACACTCTTTCATGTTTTGGTACCACAAAAAGACTTAGTTTTATCAAAACAAATCAGAATACTCTTACTCCATGTGCTGGGAATGCTTCATTGAAGATGGCACTGACAATTAAAATGGGCAAACCATGAGTATGGATGAAATGGACTGAAGCTATAAATACATACATTATGCACCAATGCTAGATCATAAAAAAACAAATCTCATCAGTTACAGGCTAGATACTAACACTGCTTTCTGTCAACGACACTCTCAGTTCCAAGTCACAAAACATACTGCTTTAGGACAATCATTAAGAAAGAATATCATCCCTAAACCTAGATCAAATAAAAAAAATATGAAATTGATGGGCTACTAAAATCTAAAAGAGGAAAAAATTGAAGACGCTAAAGATGTTGAAAACTTTTACTTAATGCAAATTCTAGAAATTATACCTAATAATGAAAAAGATGACAAAAAACCCCACTAAAGTCTCAAATTATTTTGAAAGGGAAATGACCATACTTAAATTCAAAAAAGCTTTTTTTGGGGGGAAAGCATGAATCCAACTATCAGACCAATTTATATCAAAACAGAGTAATTAAAAAAAGTTAGCATATATTATAACCATCAAGCATTCTCCTGCAGAATTTGATATAAAGTATAAAAATATTTCAGGACCTGCACAGCAACAGATGTAGCAGTTGTTGCCACAGTAAAAACCACAGAAGGGAAAGGTGGAGCTAATGAGCTACAGATCAAACACCATGGTAGAAAAAGCAATTTGAGGAAAGTATTTAAAATCTACAGAAAGGTGATGGAAGATGCCATCAACAGCTAGAAATAGTCACAAAAAACCTAAACCCCTTGTGAACAAACTCAAAGCAACATGAGGAAAGGAAACTGGCGTACATTAGTACATCAGAAATTCTAGATTCCTTTAATGAGCCATTGAAAGCCAAAGTCAAAGGCTAGGGCAGCATAAGCAGTCAAAGCAGCATAAAGAATAAACATTTCAACATTAATCAAAAACTTTACCCCAGAGGTTTGAAAAACAATGAAATTAAAGGCAACACAGACCCCCTTAAGGAGGATGTGGAAAATTTCTGGTCATCTATATAACTGAAGAACCCAATATAATAAAAATGCAAGTTGACTTAAGACAGAGAAAGCTTGTACCATATTACTGAAATGAATTGACAAAACAGTCATGTCAAGGGAGGTCTAATCTCAAGGCAAATTTGGAAATCAGCCAAGTAAGTTTTGGCTCAAATACTTTGCAGTGCTGTCTGAATTACTAGCAAGGCCTCTTTATCAGCTTCCTTTCAGATGTAAGCCCAATCCCATTTTTTTTAACAGAAGGAATTATATATTAGTAACTAAAATTATATATTATCACCCATTACCAAAAGATGAGAATACCAGTGATCTCCTGAAATATAGGTGATTTATGTGTTTATGCACTTTATATAAAGCATTCAGTTTGTAGAATGAAAAAAAAAATCTACAGGTACCCACAAGAAAATAATACATTGTCTAAGACACAAAAAAAGTGTGCCAAATAGTCCCAGGGGTATAAAGAGCAACTTACTTCTTTTGTAATTAATGAATAAGCTGTCACAAAGTCCCATAACATATGGTACATAACCTAACACTGTAATAGTAAAGGCTATTAAACAGGTACCTGCTACTAGAGTCTTTAAAATGTATTTATTGCTTATGAAATTATTAAAATCTAAGAGTAGAATTAAAAGGTCCCAATGCCATGAGCAAGACCCTCATGAACTTAAACATATGTCAACAATGAGTAATGGGGATTTGTTTGTGGAAAAGGAAGGATTTATGACAGCAATTCAGGACTGGGTCATTACAACTAGAAATTATAAAAGGAGCTCATTATTTATAATGAGTCCAGACTTAGTGATCAACATACATTATTCAATGAAGCAGCAAAAATTACACAACAGGTCAGTTTAGGCTACAAAAAGTTAGCATATACTAAGTACCTAATAAGACATGACCAGGGGACTAGAATTAGACATTAAAAACTTGCTTTTTTTCATGGACTGACAAATGACTAGTCTGTAAACTACACACAGAGACCAAAATATTCTTGAGAACTTGAACAATAAACTGTGCTAGAACAGGACCATGATTACAATCCAAACTGCTGCCCAAAAAGACATGAAAAAAATTATATTAACTAATTCATAGTGAAGTAAGCAAAAACAGAAGAACAATGTATACTATAACAATATTTTTAAAATGAACAATTTTGAGGAGTTTTATAAACCAATGATGAATAAAATGGGTAGACCAGGAGAACAATTTACATAACAGTAACCCTGTAAAAACAACTTTGAAAACTGTCAAAATTATGATCAATATAATGACCATTCATGATTCCAGAGGACCAATGATGAAAGATGTAATCATTACAGAGAGGTGATGAATTTAGGGTACAGAATAAAATATTCATAACTAATAAAATGATAGGAAATCCTTAGGATTTCTGGATTTCAGATTCAGTTATGAATATATGATATAAACATTCACTCCCCAAGCACTGTAATGTTATTATACTCTGAAAATTTTATATTCAATATAGTAAATTTTAAAATGTTACCCTTTAAAGTAGAAGCTAGTGTACCTTTCCACCAATCTATGTCCAGCTGCCATCTCCCACAACTTCGGGGTGTTAAAAACATCCCTTTAAGGGAGATTTTTCCTTGTTACCTGTCTTATCAAAGGACAGCTCATCACCCATCATTTCTGCTACCAAGAATCAAATCAGCTTCCTAAGGTAAGTATTTATTCTTTGCTTTTTTCTTATAGGAATAACAACCCTGCCCTTACTGCCCACTTCTTCCTTTAGGCTCAATCGACATCAAAATTTCCAAGAAGGCAGAAGATACTAGTATGACAAAGTTTAAAATAACTTCACAGCAGCAAAGTGAATGACTTTTTGCTACTGTAATAAAAAGTCAATATAAAAGTTATTTTGTAGTGTTACCCAAACACTATAAGTTTTTTTTAGTAAGTTCTCTTTATTATTGATATATTATTTGAATATTTTCTCATTTATTGTTCTACACAACTATTCCTGTAAATGGCAAATTTCCCATAAAATACACATGAGGTGTGAATAGTTAGTATATATACTTCCTGAACCAATTTTTTTTTCCAATTGGTGAAAGTTAAGGCATTTGTGAAGATCATAAGATTTAGAACTGGAAATTACCTTAGAACTGATTGAGTTCAACCCTCTTAACCCATTTTACATATGAAGAAACTGAGGTTCAGGGAGGTCAAGGTCATATGGATAGATTCAATTTAACTCCAAACCTGCTGCTTTGTCAATAATAATAACAGCTTGCATTCACATAGTGCTTTAAGATTTGCCAAGAGCTTTATACTGAAACAGCTACCTTGGAACACAAACCTGGGCTCTAATTCTCTTTACAAGTCATCAAGCTTTAGGACGACGAGATAAGTTAGATTATGTTTTACTTAACAGAAAGACTTCTTTTACAAAATAATAATAGTAATAATGATACAATTGAAATTCGCAAAGAAAACTAAGAATCCATTGAGAGCAGGAATTGCCCCTAAGACATCCCTGACCAATTATTTCATGATTTCTATTTGAAGATTCCCAGAGATGAGAATCACATTTCACTTCTAGACAATTCAATCAAAAAATTTTCCTTTAAATCCAGTTAAAATCTGCCTCACTGCAACTTCCATAGATTATATCTTGTTCCACCTTCTAAAGACAAGCAAAGTAAGTTTATTTCATCCTTCCACAGGACAACCCTTCAAAGACTTGAATTCACCTGTTCTTTCCCCCTTCCCCCAATTTTCTCACTCTTAATTTAAGCTAAACATTCCCAGTTCTTTCAACTTATCCCTGTATAACAAAATTTTAAGTCCTCTCACCATCCTGGTTTACCCTCCTCATCAAACCATTCCATAGGAAAAGGACTTTTAAAAATATCCTTGTGATCATGCTCAATTGTAGTGATATTTCTGTATAGGAAATTATTTGTCAGGAGCAACTATCACGTAAAAGTAAAATTCAATGCAATTGAGTAGAGGAAGGAAGTACTCTCTCCCATCAAATTACCAAATTAAATTACTATTTCAATACAGAATTACCTGAAAAAATGCATAAACATTTCAAGTTAATTTTTTATTTCTGTCAATAGTGAGGAAAACCTCAAATGGATACTTACGATAAATCCTTGAAGTCTGGAAAGACATACATGTGCCTGAAGCTGTCAATGGCTATTACTGGGCAATCTGCTGGTGTTTTCTGTATATGCAGAAGTGGGTGTCTAAATTTATCACAATCAGCATGTAAAAAGTTTATTGTACCTTAGAAAGAAAGAGTATTTAGAGAAGATTAGAATTATTTGGCTTTACATTCCTAAAATGTTAACAGTAACATGCTAGTTCAAATATAAGTCACCTGTCTAAAATGAGAGCCCTTTGAAAGAAAAAAACAGAGGTATACTATGAAAAACAATTGCACAAAATTACCCAAAACCACATATGTATATTGAGTGAAAACTGGGTTCTAAGTGAGGGGGGAATGTGTGGGGACTATAGGGTTGGTCAAGAGCTGCCCTAGTGTCTTACAGTAGAAATGGCAAACAGGCACTCTCAACAATTTCACAGGCACATTTGAGAGGTCAAAGGAAAAGCTGAGTATTGTCAGTGGGTACCACAGCCTCTCATCAAGGAAATCAAGTAAAACATGATACAATAGCCTATATTTTTGGGTTTTGTATATGCCAGATTTGGGGGAAAGTGTGTGGTGTAATGGATAGAACATTGGACTCCAGATCAGGAAGAACTGATTTTGAATCCTGCCTCAGATACTTAGCTATGTAACCCTGGGCAAATCAGTTAACCTCTGACTACTTACTTCAGTTTCTTCATCATTAAAATAGGGACAGTAATGACATCTACCTACCAGAGTTGTTGTGAGGATAAAATGAGATAATATATGTAAAATGTTTTGCAAACCTGCAAGCATTAAATAAAAGTTTGCTGTTATTATATATTTGGACCAATACTATATTTGAAAAAAAAAACACTGAAATATAAAAGCAATATACTTGAGTTATTTAAAGTAATCTAGGAATTATAAAAACTAAAAATTGTAGCTATTTTCCAATGTACCACTTGAAGCAGCAAATATTTTACTTAGAGATTTTTAAGAGTGAAATTTCTATTTTATCAAAATGACATCATACCTTAAGAGATTATAATTTGAAGGTTACAATTCATGTCTAATTTTCTAACATTAAATTACCTAACTGTCCTAAGGACACAGTCCAAATGTCATAGACTAGCCAATGATACCATGACCAACTTTTACTTATCTACATGGGGAACATCAACATCCAATCAAAAATTTTCTCTATTCTATTCCACTTGATAGTCAATTCAACTCAATTTATTAGGCAACTACTATGTATATAGCACTGTGTCATGTTCTTAGTTCACTTTGTCTCTATATTTTTCTTTTCTTTTTTTTTTAAGGCAATTGGGGTTAAGTGACTTGCCCAGAGTCACACAGCTAGTGAGTGTTATGTGTCTGAGGCTGGATTTGAACTCAGGTTCCCCTGAATCCAGGGTTGGTGCTCTATCCACTGCGCCACCTAGCTGCCCCGTGTCTCTTTATTTTTCTAACTACAGACTTCTTGATACTCTGAGAATTCCACAACAACTTGATAACCTCTTTTTGTGTAAAAAATATATTCTATTTGCTGATCAGACAGTTCTTGGTTATAAGATTGGGGAACTTTAGTAAAAAACAAGGAACTAAAAAAGGGGTCATTTGAGGGCTAGAGGAAGTGTCTAAATTTATCACTTTCCCTCCCAAGTTTCCTGCTTCTCTCAGCTATGACATACTAATGACTGGAAGCTAAAGTCAAAGTTATCTGTGTAATGGATAGATCTAATCATGGCACTCCCCTGCTTAATATTCTTCAGTGGGCCTAAAACCCCTTACCTATTACATAAATACAAACTTATTAGCCTGGCATCAAGAGGCCTACACATCTGCCTCCAAATCATCTTACCAGCCTTAATTCAGTGGGAGGGAGTAACACTTATCCCATCACATATTCTATGCTCCATCCAAACTAGACTATACAATTCTCTCAATCTCCTCTAGCCTTTTCCTGCCTTCATCCTTTGGTGAAGGATGTCCCTCATGGCTAGAACTGGACCCCACCCCAAACCCATAAACACTCTTTCTCTCCTTTGAAGCCCAGCTCAAATTTCACTTTTTTTCATAATTCCCCCTGCCATAACTGATCCTTCTCTTCTTTGGCTTTCTCAAACCATTTCAGCCCTCCTTTTCACTTCATCATTTTATAAACTGTATAATAGTTATTTGTGTACATCTTCTCCCTTAAGGGAAAAGGCTACACTGTTTTTCATCTTCGTATGCCTCGTACCTAGTACAGAGCCTTTCACATAACAGATACTTAAATAAAAGTTTGTTGAGTTGAATTGAATTGTCAAGAGAATCACTGTTTTTTATTTCTTCTGCTAATGTCCCCCTCTATTTTCATGCTAAATTATGACTTGGCTATATCTCTAAAATTATTCACTAGATTTTCACATGTAGGTTCCATACCAAATATCTTTAAGCATATTTGAAAAGAATAGCAAAGATAAAAGAGAAACCTTAGTTAATCTACCTTTTTCACTTATTAACTGCCGGGCTACTTCGTTTTGGAAAACATCTAAACTCACTGTATCCTCTTTCATGTGGAAAAGTATGAGAAAAGGCAGTCCTTCTTCTGTCAATTCCTGTATAGAGAAAGTATTAAATGAGAATTGTTATACATTTTCATTTAGTTCTAGTTATATTCTAAAATACAGCAAAATATAACTTTAAAAAAGAAAACCAACAATAGTAGCATGCAACAATACAAAAAATATCCCATGGAAAACAGTCTAAATAGAAATATTTATAGCACTGCTCTTAAAACAAGAAGGGCCTAAGTATAAGCAAAGCAAGGTCAGCAACTATTAGTCTCAGAGAGCTGTCTGTGGCACTAAAAGGTAAAGTGATTTCCCCAAGGTCACACAGCCAATTGTGTCAGAGGTAGGGAAACCCATCCCTGGGTGAATCCAGGTTTTCCTGATTCCTGGGTCAACTTTCTATCTATTAGAGAATTCTTTCTTTTTCTCTCTCTCTCTCTGTCTCTGTCTCTCTCTCCCCTCCCCTTTTTGTTAGGGAGAAAACATCAACTGGCTGCATTTGTTTACTGGTCCTTCTCTGGGATAGGGGAACAGTGTCTTATATGCTGGTACTAGTTTCCTTGTCTCAAAAAGAGCTACCTGGAGAGGCCTCTCTATTACATAACTGAATCCAGTCCTAGAGGGCCAGAGAAACCAACCACTGTGGGTCAGTTTACACAGGAAAGGAGGAAAGTATGGTAAGACAGTAATATGGCTTCACAGAATTCTGGTGGATTTATATTAAAAATAGATGTGTACAAAAGATGGAAGCAAGGGTACTGGTACTTAACCAAGGGCAAATACAAAACAATACCACGTATCTATAAAAACAGCATCACGAAGACTAAAACCCAAAAATGAGCCTAGTGTTACGAAAAGTGTCAAAATTAATAAAATGAACTTTGAAATCTATTTGCCAAATACGAAAAGAATAAAGGAAGGAATAAGCCTAATGGTTAAGCAGATGGTATTGTGTTAATGGACAGCAAAAAAAATGAAGCTGCTCAGCTGCCATTTTGGTTCTAACTTCTCTGTCAAAGGGAATGATCTTCAGACTAGAATGGGTAGAACAAACATGATTAAACGTAAACTAGAGCCAAAGACTGGTAAGGAGACAGGGAGAAAATACTTAGCAACTATAAATAAGTTCAAACCTCTTGATGTAGAAAAATTAAGCTGCAGGATGCTCAAAGAACTTAAAGATGTGATATGTAGACCACCTGGGATAATCTATGAACTATAGCTGAGAATGGGAAGGGTGTGCTATAAGACTGAGAATAGTGCAGGATAGGGTTCTGATTCCAACAAATTTTCCTTAACTCTTCTTTTTAAGGGGAAAGAAGGTAGATTTTGCCAACTATAGCTAAGCAAATTTAAAGTCAAACTCAGGTTAAATTCTAGAAATACTGAACAGATGGCTTGTAAGCACATAAGAAGATAAGTGAAGATCACCAAGAGTCTAGAATTCACCAAAAATAAGTTATGCCACACCAACATTATTCTTCATTGTAATACATTTACTGTATTGGTAACAGTCTGAATTAAATTGAATGCCACAAATGTTCCCTGTCTAGATTTCAGAAAGGCTAGTGTGTGCATTCTGAAAAAATCTTGCATGACACTCTTGCGGACAAGTCTGAAAAAAATGTGTACAATGTACATGTAGGCGGATTCATATCTGGTTTAATGACAGAGTCCAAAGAGAATTAATGAATCATTGTCCACCTGGCAGAAGGTCTCTAGTGCCAGAAAGCTTTGGTGCTCAGTTCTGTCCTGCTTACCATTTTAATTATTTATATTGCACGTCTTTCAAATTGGAGAAAGACACAAAGCTAAGAATACTATTATACTGAATGACAGAATCAGAATCCAAAAGACCCCTGATAATGTAAATTTCTCAATTCAGGTTAAAAAAAAATAACTTTAAGCACAGGATGGTAAAGACAAGATTGGATAGCAGTTCGTATTAAAATAGAAGGGTCCTAATTGACTGAAAGCAAAACCTGATTCAATCACAATCCTTGTCCTCCACTTGACAGACCATCCTTGAAACATGATCTTCAGTTCTGGGTGACACATTTTAAGAGTGACATTGAAAAACTGGAATGTGTGCAGAGAACGTAAAGCGGTACAGTAAAGGGTGCTGTTAAGTGAAACAAATCTGGGGATGGGCAGAGGCCACCTAGGGAGTCACCAGGTTCAACCTTGGAACGTTCAAGGGATGCTGGAATGTGAGTGCACGGCTGGCTATGCTTGAGGTTCATCTCAAGGACATCTCTGGACTAAGGAATGATGCTTCTTCTACCAGACTGTTGAGTTTCTAAGAATAGTGCAGGATAGGGTTCTGATTCCAACAAAAACCACCAGGTCAGATCCCTCAGGTTAGGATGGAGTAGCTGAATCTTAATGGAGGGTTCTCATCAAGGGATGATATTACTAGAATAATATATCACTTTGGGGTTGTTGTGAGGATAAAATGAAATGGCCTACATAAAGAACTTTGTAAACTTTAAAGCAATATATAAATTCAAGTTGTTATTATTATTATTTTGAAGTAGTACAATAAGAAAAGATGGAAATTAGATATATGCTCTATATATGGATATTGGCAAGAAAAATTATAGGATGTGTAAGCATTGCAATAATATCCCATAAGGAATGTTGGATATGAAGAATTTAAAGAAAATGAGAAGGCCTATAAGTGAAACAGGATAAAGAAAGCAGAGTAAAAACGGCATAAAAAAACAAGCCCAACAAAAGATCAACATGTTTGTCATTGCACAAAGCAATAGGCACCTTAATGAAGTGCCTACTAAGCTAAGCAATGTCAAAAACAAACCAGTTTGTCCTCAAGGAGCTTATACCTTAGGAAGGAGAGACAATGTGTACATATGTAGATATAAACAAAATAACTGGGGAGGGGGGGTGTATGAAGAAATGAGCAGCTGAAGGGTGGAAGGATAGTAGTAATGGAGTCATGCAGTAGATGTCACATGAGCACTTGAATTAAGCAAGCCTTGAAGGAAGCTAGGAACGATTCTAAGCGGCTGAGATGAAGAAGGCATGCATTATAGGCACAGAGGCCCAGAGAGGGGAGATGGAGGGCCACACTAAAGGAAGAATCAGAAGACTAGTTTGGCAGGACCACAGAATGAGTGAGTAATATATAATAAGTCTAGAAAGGGAGGATTGGGCCAGGTTGTAAAGGACTTTAAATGCCAGATAGAAGAGTTTACATTTTGTCTGACAGGTTAATAGATTTTATTGAGTAAAAGAGTGACCTGTTCAGACCTATACTTTCAGAAAATCACTGACAGTTGTACAGAGGCAAGGCAACAGAGAATCTAATTAGGAGGCTATTATGATAGTCTAGGCCAGGCCTTCTTAAACTTTTTCCACTCATGACCCCTTCAGCACTTCTTAAACCCTGGGTTGAGACCCCATGTGGGTCCCACAGTTTAAGAAGCACTGTTCTAGGCCAGAGATGATGAGGACCTGAATTACAGTGCAAGTGCCTTCCCTCCCAAAATGATCATTTCTGACCTGTCTTGAGGTGATATACACACAATCTTCTGTCATTTTCTTGCATGAGATTTTGCAAATGAGTTTATATTCCAAACTAGTGTTGCTTTCTCTTGGTTTTCATGTCTTTCCTCTAGGCAAGGTGATCAAGTGTTTGTTGGTTAAGTGTTTTTCCAGGTTCTTTGGCTTCCTTGACGTAATAACTGTTTATATCAATTAAACTTCCACCAGAAAAGTAGTCCACTAACAAGCACCTATTAAGTGCCTATTATGTACCAGGCACTATACTAAGTAATGGGGATACAAAGAAAAGAAATAGTCCCATGGCAACAGTCCTTGTGGAATATGTACTTTTGTCTACTTTGCTTTCCCCTCCCCCCCAATTTAAGCAGCTTGTTATCACTGAAAAAAAGCTTGACACAATGAAGATAAATTCCCCTAACAGATAAGTGATGAAAAAACATGAACAGACTTTTCAAAAGAAATAGAAATTATGATTTATATTTATATATATATGAAAATAAAGAAAAGATATGAAAGAATGTACCAAATCACTAAGAGAAATACAAATTAAAATAACTCCAAAGTTTCATCTCATACCTAACAGACTCTGTTGTTAGGATTGTGGAAAGATGAGTGCGCTCATGGATTGTTGGTGGAGCTATGAATGGGTCCAATCATTACAGAAAATAATTTGGAACTATGATCCAAAAGTTACTAAACTATAAATACACATTGATGCAGTGATTCAAATACTAAGTATATACCCGGGGTTGGTGGAGTGGAGGACAAAGACAGATGGTAAAAGTCTAACAGATATGAAAGTATTTATAGAATCACTTTTTATAGTAGCAAAAAATTGAAAGTAAACCAAATACTGGTTGGAGGAAGAGTTGGACAAACTGTGGAGGATGAATGCAAGAATATTACTCCATTGCTTTAAGAACAAGGAATATGAAAAATTTAGAAAAAACTGAGGTCATATTTACTGAAGTAAAGGTAAGTAAGCACAATCAAGAGACCAGACACAACATCCTCAATAACATAATAGAAAACAACATTTAAAGTCATCAGAACACTGATCAATGCAGTCATAAATCTTGACTTCAGAAGAATAATGAAGAACAACACTTCCCTCTGTCAGAGAGGCAGTAGCATACACATGCAGAATAATGCACACGTTTTCAGACGTGGTTAAGATGACTTTGTTTTGCCTAATTTTATTTCCTTCTTACAAGGAGAAGTTATAGAGAAGTTGCCAACAAGTGACTAAAGAGCATTAGTATAACTTTCCTCCTTTTATCCTTCCTTTTAAGAAAGATTCTTGCCAGGAAAGGAAAGAGCTGTGGTTCAAATTTTTGTCAACTGCATTCCATAATTAGGAGTTCTAAGACATTTTGAAAAATTCCATTACATTGTACGAAAATCATAGCAGATTCAATATAACTTGAAATGTTTGTGATAGAGTAATAGCAACATTGTGCGATGATCAACTTTAACAGACTTGGCTCTTCTCAGCAATACAATGATCTAAAACAATTCCA